AACGAATCAACAAAATTCTCATACGATTCAGGCAAAGAAACTAGCAGAATTAAAGCAGCATCCTCATCATCTATTTTAACATCAATGTTGCGAAGGTCAAGCAAAATTTTACTTAACTTTTCCAGATGATCCCGAAGGGGTGTACCTTCCTGCATGCGTAGTCGAAACAGACGTTGCTTCAAGAGCAACTTATTGGTCAGAGACTTCGTCATGTACAAGCTCTCCAACTTCATCCAGAGGGCAGCAGCGGTCTCCTGATCAGCGACTTCGATGATAACATCGTCCGACAGGCACAACATGATTGTCGAGTGGGCCTTTTCTTCTAGGGTTTTCCACTCTTCATCATCGTTTGCCTTATTCACCTTTTCAGTCAGCGGCGCCCACAATCCCTGCTGCTTCAGCAACGATCGCATCTTGATCTGCCACAAGCCAAAACTATTTCTCCCGTTGAATTTATCAATCTTCACGTTCAGAGCAGATGACATCTTCGATCGACTCAAGAAACCCTAACAGTGCGGAATTCAAAAAATCCCTAATCGGAAGAACCAGAAGCTCCGATACCAGTTTGTTGTTACGGAATAGGGTATTGAGTAATCAAAGAACAAACAGAAAAACACAACAACAGATTTAACGTGGTTCACCAACGTTGTGTTGGCTAGTCCACGGGGAAGAGGGGGAGCAGTTTTATTTCTGAAGGAGAGGCAAAACAGAGTACAGCTCATAGGGTTTGTGGTAGCACCCATATAAATAGTGCTTCACTAAAACCTAACATACTTGGGCCCAAAACTACATAATTAACAGATAATTAGAAGCCCAATTAACTTCTCCGGATTCTGACTTCTCCGGATTCTGACTCCTCCGGATTCTGACTCCTCCGAACTCTGACTTCTCCGAAAACGGACTTCTCAGAAAACGGACTTCTCCGGATTCGGAGCTGTGATGGGTCAGATTCAAGGCATTTTAACACACTTAAATAGTTAAATCAAGCAATTAACATGCTTTTGTATTGAACAAAAGATACAAAGCCACAAGAGGGAAAGAGGCAGGGGTTTCCCCTTTTGGATTTGTGACCCCGGGATGGCAAACCAGCAGGGTTTGCAGAGGGCTGATTGGCTTATACCAAACCTTTTGGAAGAGGACCGAAAAAAATATCATTATAAAAAAATATAGAATAGATAACCTATACTCCCTCCGTTTAGAAAAAAGTGTTCCTATTTTGACTTTGTATAATAATAAGAAAGTATTAAATTGTAGTTGACTTCCAATTTTGCCCTTGATGTGATAGGTAAAAGTAAGATGTGATAGATAGATTATTAGAGATAACGTATGATGTGATATGTAGGGTATGAAAAAGTAAGGGTAAAAGTGGTTTTTAATAGAAAGTGGAAGTATTTTGTTGGAAGTGAAAAAAAATGAAAGAGGAAGTGTTTTAAAAAACGGAGGGAGTATTATTTAATAATGTTTACATGATCCCTCTTGAGTTTGCTTGCTAGACTATTTGAAAATCCATAGCCCCCATGTCCAACTATTAGAATATATAGTTTGTTCAAGGGAATGTAAGGTCGTCCCAGTGCATGGTGTTTAAACAATTTCACCGCTTATTTTTCTATACAACTTTGGCCCCAGATAAACCTATGAAAACATTCAAATATGTGAGATTTGGACATTTTATTACTTGTATATATTGAGGGAATTGTAGAGGGTGAAAGTTAGCTATTGCTTTCTCCTCACCGGCATGCGATGGAGGGATCATCTGCTCAGAGATGAGTTCACCTTGCCAGCTAGCTCCCATGATCTGCAGGACGCTTGGTGAGGCTTCTCGAGATGCCAGTGGGAGGACGTTCCACATAACATTGAATAGATTGGGTGAATTACTATATTTTTAGAATTGGACGATATGTTGTTTGGTATATGAAGAGAGCGAGGAGGAGATGGAGATGGAGTGGAGAAGCTGGCTGTGGGGCAAAAAGTCGTTCCACTCGATTCCCAACGATGAAACCAAAAGCTCCACTTTGACTTCTTCACATTCCAAAAAATTCTCAAGTGATCGGGTACATTAGTTACTTTCTTTCTTTAAGTTTATATTTTGTGAGATGGAATTAGTTTTTAAGAGTTGGTTTTAGCTATTTCTACCCCTAACACCTTAGCTTTGATATAAGTGACAATATGCATATTTTTTATAAATTGGCTACTAGAAATGAAGTACTTTGTATTAATGAGCAGAGAAGACACCATAACATATTTCAGTAAGTATTACTACTCTGATGATGTTTGTGATAAAATTTAGGATGGGTATGGACAACTAGATTGGGTAATAAGACACTTGGGCTGAACCACATTAAAAAATTGAATCCAATCGTTAGTTAGTTCAACTCAAGAGCTTATATACCAATTATTTTCCTCACACTTTTCCGATGTGGGATGCTCTTTAACCGTTTGTTACAATGAATTCAGATTCGGATACAGATTTCGAGTTGAGAGCCAGAACTTATTCGCCTACCTTGAACAAATGATAAAAGCATTTGACAACAAATCTTGCTCATATTTATTCTCAATTGTGCCACATCCAAACATATAAATTGTATTCTCATATATCATATGATATGCATAGTTTGTATATTCAAAGCATTTACGAGAAAAAGAGAATTTTTTTAAAGTGTTGAGCATAAACAATCGAGAATGTATTACGCATATATATTTCTTTAAAGGGTATACCCCTTATCTTCATATTTTTGAAGTTTGCGTCGTATCTCTAATTATGGGTTATTTTTATGTTTCATATCATTTATCGTTACATAAAAATTGCACCGTAGAATCTAGTTAGCAACAAGAAAAGAATGAATAAACCTGGTGATTGCTGATTGGTGACGCTGGAACGGAGATGGTGATTGCCGATTAGGTCTGGTGATTGCCGATTGGCGAGGACCAAGAGATGGTGATTGCTAGGAGATAGGCGTCGGTTTGGGAAGGCCGGGACCGGGAGATGGTGATTGTCGATTGGTGATTGACCGGAGATGGTGATTGCCGATTTCGGCACTGGGATTTGCCGACTTGGGAGACGGGGTTGGGACTTGGAGATTGGGTCAGACAGCAAATTTGGGAACTGGGTTTTTTTCTAAAAGATTTGGTCTGGGCTATGTTTGTCCACTTTCAATATGGCACACATACCAAGGTGATGAGTAAAATGGCACAAATACCCCTAGACTAGCCAACACTCCTCAACCGCCCCAGCCTCTCAATCCTTCCTCATCCCCGCATCAACTGTGTATCCATCGTTGTGCCACACCGCAATCGAGAATGTATTAATCATATATATCTTCCTATATACAATGGTAAGAGGGCTTTAGGAAGTGTCCTGGCCCATTTCATTAGCTACGGTACTCGGAAAATTTGGACCGCACAATCCAGTAAAAAATCTGGTGAAGCTTCCCTCATACTCATTTCATTTTAGTGTACGGATTCCCAATTGCACATTGGATATTGGACTCTGTATTTTAGATGTAGAGAGAGAGAGAGAGAGCGTGTGGAGAATCCCGCCGGATCAGCAGAGATTTGATCTCCCGGAGGCAACTTGAAGACAGTCGGACCCTTGCCTACTACAACATCTAAAAAGGTGAACATTTAATCTAGGGTTTTGTTCTTGATGCTTTTTTGGATTCAATCAGTGTGGAATTTAATCTTTGTTGGTGCTTGATTTAGGATTCAAACAAAGTCTACTCTGCATCTGCTGTTGAGGCTCCGTGGTGGAATCTCTCTAGGTAACTCCATGTTTTGGCAAACTCAAATGGGGCAGCCGTCCCCTCCGTAGGCCAAGCTGATAAAATTAGCTCCGATTCATCCGGCCACACCTTCGTCCTTTCGTTTTTCTTTTTTCTTTGACTTTAGCGGCCGGTCATTCCATCCGTAAGAATCAATCGTCTCTGACTTTCTTCCTCCATATCCAATTCATTATCCATCTATCTATCTATCTATCTATCACGTATTTCATTTTCCATCCTCATTTTCTTCTTCGAGTTTTTGTCTTCTATTAGGTATATGGTCATATTTTAGAAAATGATACACTACTCAACAAATCATCTTTTAGCTCTATATTAGTCTGTGATTTTTCTCAATTTTTTCCTACAGCCTTTGTCATTTTGTTATAATTGGAAAATTATTGTTCTCATATTAAAGTGGACTTTTAGATTTTTGATATTACTGACTAAATTAGATTTTAATACGGAGTATTATTGACTAAATTTAGAATTACATTTACGAATTTCTTCATTTATTATTGACTAAATTTAGAATTACATTTTCGAATTAGATTTTAATATTATTGACTAAATTTAGAATTACATTTTTTTCACCTCAATGTTTAGGTGAAATGAACTTTTATTCAAAGATTAATGCGAGAAAGTGCACATTTTTTGGGGTTTAGTTTATTGGGTGATTCACAAGATGTCTTCTCGCTTATATTCTTTGGGTGGAAAACAATAAAACATTACAAAAAAGGCGTGAAGGTGTGTAATTTCATTGACAACTTATTTATTTTGATAACTGATTTAAATTCTTCATTAGGAAAATGTTTGTGTTTCTTTATAGTTCAATTTTGCATATTGATTACAAGAGTTTTGTAGTTTGCATATGGAATTCATTTGACTATTGAAGAGACACAACTAGAAGTTAGATTTTTTTAAATGTTTGATTGTCTTTTAGATTTTTATTACTACATGTCTCTTCTATGACATGTGTCATTCATTAAATGTTCAGATTTTTATTACTACATATGTCTTTTAGATTTTTATTACGACATAGAAGGTATGTTTGTGGATGTGTTCAATTTTCTTAAAAAAGTTGTTTACCTTTTAGAAGATGTCTTTTTTTTAGAAAAATTGTTTTTTAACAAGTTTTTTTTGCTTTTGATCAATTATGTCAACATGATTGAGGTGGATGGCTTTGACTCTCATAGTTTTTGATAAAAAAAAAGTTTTGATATATCACGAAAGATTTTAAGGTTACTTTTTTTCATTTCAATATTTTCTTTGGTTTTACGTTTAAATTATATGGCTTTATATTACTTCAATTGCAGGCTTCAGAGCTTTGAACCATGAGAGGAAGTAATCAAGATGTCATTGATGCACATTTTGCTGACAAAACGTAATATGACGGTTAAGTGAATAATACACATGTTTACCTTTACATGTCTAATGCACGGACTTGCTAATCCAAATTTCACTGCTTCATATTCTAACAACTTGGCTTAGAGAATAATGTGCAATAATGTTTAGTATTTAGTTCAATATAACTTCCATATTCTGATATGAGTTTTTGTTCACTTAATTAGTTATTTTCTCTGCAGACCCATTCTATTTCAACTCTGCCATGTTCGTAAGTGTATTGTGTAAGAGCTCAGTATGTTTTTCATTTTATTATAAAATATAATTTCATCATATTTATATACTGAGCATATTCATATGAAAGAGGTCAATTTTAATACACTGAGTGTTTTTTGAAGCCCGTGCTAATGATAATATGTTTCTGAACATGATCTTCATGATCTTTATGTTGTATGTTTATTCCTATTTGCAGGCTAACATAGAAAACCAAGTTCTTGATTTATATACAATTGTTCATTCTGTTAACTTTATATGGTCCACCGTAGCAAAATGGGGACAGGAAAAGAAGATGGGCCATGACAAACCAGGTAACATTTTTTATTCGGTGTTTGATTGAATAAATTAAAGATTTTTTGAGGGTTTTCTATAAGTAATCCAGTGTCTTGGAAGCATGATACCCTGAAAGTATGTTTAGAATTTTAAATTGGAAGCATGATTGAATTCTTTGTTCTTTTTTCTTAATTTTTTTCAATATTTAAAGCTAAAGCTTTTGTCTATCGTATTGTCAATTTCAAACAATGTGGATGATATGGTAATTGTGTTCCCTTTGATTCATAAATGGATTAAGCAAATATAAATATATTTGTTTAAAAAAGGCAACATTTAAGTTTCATCATCTTCACCTTCAATGTTGCTCAAGTTTCAGTGAGTATTCCATGAACGTTGGCTTCTTTTAAGTTTCTAATTTTGATAGTTTTTCTTTAAGTAATGCAATGCATTTATGTTCCAGATTATAATTAAAGATTTGCGAGTTTTCACTATAAATGAAAGTCTATTCATAGAGTTGTTCTTTAATGATGATCATTTTAAGCGAAACTGAAATTTTTGAGTGTTCTGTAGATTAGAAAAGCATGTCAATGTCAAGTAATGAGAAAGGTATGTTTACTCAACTCTAATGGATTAATTTTTAAGTAAACACTCATTTTTTCATTAGTTCATTTTATTATTCGTAGGACATAAATGGCCATAACCATCTCATGATTCCTTCATTGTATTCGTTTTAAGTTATTACAATGCTGTTAACCTTTGGTAAAAAGATACTAGAAAGGTATCTTTTTTAGTGACTCAATGAAGGTGGAATAACTTAAAGCTTTTTTCAGAATCAAGTAATGACAAAGGTATGTTTACTCAATTCTAATGGATTGGGTTTTTTTAGTAAACACTCATTATCTTCGTTAGTTCATTTTATTATTCGTAGTAGTGAGATTAATACTCCATGAAAAGCTTAAAATGTGGCTTTGTTGTTAAATGCTCCATGAAAAGCTTTTCCAACCAACTTTTTAAACACTACTTTGAAGAAAACATGGTCTTAATTGTTTAGTATTTCATGAAATAGAGTAGAAAAAAGGTAGGGGTTGAAGTCATTATTTTGTTGGAGTTGGTAGAAAATATCAATCTAACCCCCTTTTAAATACATACTCATTTGTAATATATTTTTCCAAGGTAGAGAGGGATGAATTGAGTGCACGGTCGCTGTAGTATGAGATTATTACAACACGACCTTTAAAGGTGTTATAGCTATTTATTTTTAAGTTGCTTTGAGAATTCATGTGATCCTCATTCTCTTAACTCAATTTATTAATAGTCTTCATGTCTTTCTTTATCAAAATAGTAGAATGCTCCTACTGTCATATAAATTTGGAGCTTTTTTTTACCAATTGATAAAAAATGGGGATTTCTTAAAACTGCAGTTATNATTAAGACGATGATGGTTGATCGTGGGGATGAGTTCCTTTTTTAAATTATTAGTATGAATCTTACATTCAAATGGTTAGCGCAACTTTCTATAGCTTTACTTTCATTTAATTTTGGAGCAAACGTGTTTCAAATGCCACAGCCTATTACATGTATTTTTTACTGACTGAAATTAATGTCATTTTTAAAAATTGTTTGAGAAGATAGGTTCTACACATTTGGCTATTTTTTCATTTTTTTTCAGTTTGAATTTTTATAGTTATATTAATAAAATGAGTTACCGGGGGTCTTTAAGAGAATAGAAACCATCAATTTTTAGAATAGAGTACCGTAGGTGCTCCAATTGAGGCTCATGTCATAGAATGACATGAAAGACTAATGTTACCCGAATCTCTCAAAAGATTTGTCATTGCATTTATAATCATGTTCACTTTATGTACTATCTTAAAAGTTGTTTAATAAAAGTTTGAAGAAATTTTTATACATTGAATCTATATTATTGATATTTTGCATCAAGAATACACTTTTGTGCATCTCTATATCTAATGAATTATTCTGTATGATATGTCCTTCATTTATATTTCTTCTGCAATGCACAACACTTAGTAATTATTATTTTTATTTCAATAAATTTTTTATACATGGTAATAATACTTTTACATAAATTTGTAACTTTATTTTCTAGCCGTGCAACGCACGGGTACGAGTCTAGTTTCTTTAAAGGGTATACCCCTTATCTTCACATTTTTGAAGTTTGCGTCGTATCTCTAATTATGGGTTATTTTTATGTTTCATATCATTTATCGTTACATAAAAATTGCACCGTAGAATCTAGTTAGCAACAAGAAAAGAATGAATAAACCTGGTGATTGCTGATTGGTGACGCCGGAACGGAGATGGTGATTGCCGATTAGATCTGGTGATTGCCGATTGGCGAGGACCAAGAGATGGTGATTGCTAGGAGATAGGCGTCGGTTTGGGAAGGCCGGGACCGGGAGATGGTGATTGTCGATTGGTGATTGACCGGAGATGGTGATTGCCGATTTCGGCACTGGGATTTGCCGACTTGAGAGACGGGGTTGGGACTTGGAGATTGGGTCAGACAGCAAATTTGGGAACTGGGTTTTTTTCTAAAAGATTTGGTCTGGGCTATGTTTGTCCACTTTCAATATGGCACACATACCAAGGTGATGAGTAAAATGACACAAATACCCCTAGACTAGCCAACACTCCTCAACCGCCCCAGCCTCTCAATCCTTCCTCATCCCCGTATCAACTGTGTATCCATCGTTGTGCCCCACCGCAATCGAGAATGTATTCACTACGCCAAAAACAGTATCAGACGACTGTTGATTAAATACTGTTTATGGAAACACAGTAGTTAAAAAAACACAGACTACTGTGATTTTTTTCTTGGCTACAGAACAGTAGTCTAGCTACTATGATTTAAAACTATTTTTAAAGTTTCGAGAAACGGTAATCTATCACTAGTTGTCTGTGTCAGTTCAAAATACAGTTTTTGTTACAACAGTAGTCAATAACAAGTTAAGAATACTCTATTTAAACAGTAGTATGGTGTTTTAGTCTAGAACTGTTTTTAAACTTATTTGAAACAGTTATCTATTGCTAGTTCTCTGTTTCATATGGTTTTTTTGCCACCGTTGTTTCTAATGGGAATAGAAGACTCTTTTGTAACAGTAGTATATGAATTAAGGGTAAAACAGTTTTTATAGTTGTGAGAAACAGTAATCTTTTATTAGTAGTCTGTTTCACCTAAAAATACAGTTTTTGTTGCCACAGTTGTCAATAATTAGTTAAGACTACTATTTCTAAGCAGTAGTCTGGTTTTTTTAGTTTATAACTGTTTTTAAACTTATAAGAAATAGTATTTTATTGTTAGTTGTATGTTTCATATGGTTTTGTTTTGCATAGTTGTTTATTACAAGAATAGATGACTCACTTGTAACAGTAATATATTTATATAGCGTAGAACTATTTTTTAAATTCATAGAAACCGTAATATATTACAAGTTGTTAACAATAAATCAAGAATACCTTTTTTAAATAGTAGTTAGACTATTAATTCTAGAACTATTTTCAAAGTTTTGAGAAAGTGTAATGTATTACTAGTAGTGTGTGTCAAACCGTTTTTTTCACGGTTATCTAAAATAAATAAAGAAAACTGTTTTTAAGAGAATTGTGTGTATGAAGCCTAGAACTATTTTAAAAGTTAAGAATATTCATTTTAAACAGTTGTCTAGTTCTTAAGCCTAGAACTATTTTAAAGGTTCAGAATAACGGTGATCTTTTTTACAATGAAAATGGATACGCTCTCTAACTTTACTTTCATACTTTCGGACAATATATGTACAACAATCAAATAAACATTGTTTCAAACAATTATATGGACATGAAAAAAATAAACACTTCCATTGAAACGAAAGAAAAACAGAAAGAATGAAAATCCATATTCTCAAATTACTCAAATTAAAGAATAAAGACCAAATCTTCAAGGTAGGAGTGCCAATTACACAAAGATTGGTTTTTAGCCATGGTTTTACTCTGCCCAATGACTTAAGCTTGACCATTTAGCTTGTGGAAGAGGGAACAACATCATCACCCCATTCCAGTGTATTTCCCAAGAAATTCACAAGACCAACTCAAAGAAATCCATGACTAAGACCAAGCCCAAGCAATAGTAGTCTAGGTAGGCACATAAACCATCCTCATAGTTAAGCACATGACATATATACATTTGTGAGATAACATAAACATATCATGACATCCAAGAATTCCATCATCCAAAGGCTAATCCACAGCCCAGGTAGAAGGTTCCATGGTCAGCACCAGTAGATCCCAAGCAGTAACAAAATCCAGTAGCAAAATCCAGTAGTAGGTGCAATTTCAACCTGTACGCAGCACCTGTACGCCAACTATGAGCATCAGCAGGTCCTCCAGACAGTAGCTCAGTGGTTGCAGCAGGAGCACAGCAGCGCCATCATGCAACAGGTCCTCTGGTTATTGCACAGCAACTCCAAGTTCCGCGCAGCAGCAGCTTCAAAGCAATTCCAAAGCAGCAAAACAAACCCGAAGCAGAAAGAGACCACCATCTCCTTTAAGTTGGAAGACCAAAATCAGGGACCAATGTATGAAAGGAACGGGTAGTGGTAGACCAAACCACAGCAAACAGAAGTCACCCAGTGCAAGGGACAAGTTGGTCTGCCAGCAACATATGTGTGCCATCCCATCCCTCAAGAAGACTGAGTTCAGTAAACAAACAGCACAATGGAGTATGCTATTCGAAAATGGCAGCACTGGAGATCATGATTTGCCAACAGCAGCTTTGGGTGGCTCTCCAACGAAGTAGTCTAGCCAAACCCAGTGATGCCACAGAAAACCATTCCACGTAGCTGGTTGTGTCCTATTTCTCTTAACAATACCATTACAGCTTCATGAACAAACACTACAAGAAATATGTCCTTTAATGAGAGTAAAAGCTGTAGTTAAAGAAACAAAAAACCTTCATTAAAAAGTTTTAATGAGAGGAAATTTACTCCTAGATTCATAAGTTATCAAAGAAGCCTACTTAGTTTTTTGTATAAATTTATGGGGGCGGGGGATTAGAGTTTAAGTAAAAATATCCCTGTGTCAGTAATATATATACTTACTGGAACATCATTACCAATTAAAGACAAAGAAGCAGCATCAACCTATTCAGTTACACCGTCATCCAAAGTTATCACAGATTTGCTAGTGGTCAAAACAGCCTTCTCGGTTTCAGGAGACACCAAACAATCCTTAGTATTATCAGGAGGGACATCCACAGAAGTTATATCCTTGGTTGGAGTATAGGTTCAGAAGCTTCCTTGGACCGTACTGCAAAAGTTGCCTTGTTGGAAGGTGAGCCATTTCATTGAACGTGTGCCCCCTCCTATATATGAAGGATTGAACAAAATACTCATTAGATGTATCATTTGACTAATTCTAATGAGAAGAATTTAAAAAATTTCCCCTCGCTGCTTCTTAGCCACAAATCATCATCAAAACTAAAACGAAAG